TTAAGGAAGTGGAGTGTACTCATTTGGGCATTAATAGTGGTCTTGCATTTAAAAAAAGGAGCAGTAAAGCACAGTCACTATGCAGCACTAAGAAGATTACAAGTATTAAAAGAATAGATACTGATTGCTCTAGGGTTCATTAAAGTGGAGCTCCACCCAAAAGGGGAAGTTCCGCTTTAATGTTTTGTCCCCTGCTTCCCATTAAGGATTGGCACCTTTGGGGAATTTGACATTCCTCTCTCCCCGTAGTCTTCCGGGACACGTGACAGGTCCCAGAAGACTACGGGGCCAGTCACAAAGCTCAGAGCTTCTTGCGCATGCGTAGTGGGCACCCGGCTGTGAAGCCACAAGCTGTCACAGCCGGGTGCCCACACTAAAGATGCCGGCACCAGGGAGAGAAGACAGCCGGTGAAACCAGTGGTGGTGAGAACACAGCTGAACCGAGGGACAGGTAAGTGGCTGTATTTTAAAGGTCAGCAGCTACAGTTTTTGTAGCTGCTGACTTTTTTCTTTTTTTCAGCTGGAACTCCGCTTTAAATAGGAAATGCCTTTATTGTATACTGATAAAATACACATTTAGCACCCTCCTAGGTAGCTAGGGGGAGCTAGTTGATTGTTTGTTAGTTAGAGGCTGAGCAGCAGCCTGGTGTGATAGTCAGAGGGGGGTCAAATTTCAGTCAGGGCTGAGACGCTCTGCAGACCTGCTCTCTGCAACTTCCCCCTGCTTTGGAATTTTGGGGAAGATTTCCAGAAGCATTGGGTGGGGGTGAGAAGTGGCTGACCTGCACTCTCAAGGGATCCTGGCCAATCCCCAAGCGGGAGGCTTGGCATGGGATCAGGACAGCCCTTAAGAGTGGTTGCCTGCTCAGCAGCAGGGGAGTTTCTGCACTCTCAAGGGATCCTGGCCAATCCCCAAACGGGAGGCTTGGCATGGGATCAGGACAGCCCTTAAGAGTGGTTGAGCCTGCTCAGCAGCACAGCAGAGTTTGGGTGGAAGAGTGGCTGAAGGCAGCCACCAACCCACATGCTTGCCGGGGAGGGCTAAGTGAGTAATAGCACACCCCTTGGGTCAGATAAGGGAAAAGTTCATTTGGGTGGGAAAATTGACTAGCCCCCATCTGGGACTGATTTCAACTAAGATACAAACTTTTGGGACCTCTTGGCCAGGGATTCCCTCAGGAAGCTGTGTGAGGAGGAGATTTCATCTGGGGTCTGAGAAGGTACACAAGGAGAGGCTGGATGGCTCTCCAAGAAGAGAAAACCCTTCTGACTACTTGTTTGTAGTTCCAGGAAGTTGGTTTTACAGTTCCTTGGGCATCCCATGTACCTCTCATCTTACATCCCCTAATGAAATCCCACAAAAAACCAAGCTCAAGGACTATCTACTGTCTTCTGGATGCAAGTATGTGAGGAATGTGTGTTGAATGGCTGTGCAGGACTATAGGGGGACCCAAATCTCTAGCAACTCCTAAGGGGGTAGTGCTACACATGCACTTTTAAAGCGATGCTGGATTCAACCAATACATTTAAGAAATAACATTAACGTTTGAAAAACTCAAAATAAAAACCAACAAGAGCTCACCGACCTAGTGCAATACACAAATGTATAGAAGAAATGTATTTGTGGCCCCAGAAGCAATTATTATTGTGTACAGTTGATTATTATTGTATGCTGTATTTGGCCCACAGCTATCACATGGTACAGGGTGCTGTGATTGGTCCAGGTACCATGTGATAGCTGTCGGCCAATCACAGCATCACTATAGGAATCACAGCTTGTCAGGTCTGGGCTCCTGCTATTTAACCCCCCTGACGGTATTCCTGAGTGTAGCTCGGGGTAAAGTTTCAGCACCACAAGTGGTAACCCCGAGCTACACTCAGGGAATACACTGCAGCGTTGCTTTGGGATCCCTTCTGCACTTACCTTGTCCTTCGCTCCCGCAATGTCCCCCCTGCAGTGTCCCCGACCATCTCCTCCGGCCGATGCCGGCATCTGTCTCCTGGGTTCCATTTCCTGTGATGTCGGGACGTACGGGGGACGGAACGGCGGGAAATTTAAAAATGTCAAAAAGTGACATTCACTAAATACACTAAAATCACATAGTATAACATTCCTGTATCAAACCATTTCACATACATTTTGTCCCGAGTGCTTTGTCCGGCGCCCTGCCTGCATTTTTACTGTTCTTTCTGCCTGGAAACTGAGAAACGTCCATGGCGTCCAAAAAGCGTCCCTTTAGGTCAAAAGCGGTTTTAGACCGGCTAGAGAACAGCGATAGTAAATCAGAACCACTTGCAGAATTGAGTGATAATGATTCGAGGGGGAAATTCATCATCAGACACTGAAAACGATTCTGCAACTGAGCTCAGCGATATGCGAACTTGGCGCTATATTTGTGGTTTTTGGTTTGATTATATTATTGAATAAAATTTTTATTATTATATATTATTATTTTTTATGATTATTTATTAAGTTATAATTTATGATTTTGTGTTTCAAGTTTTATCATACCCGGAATGTTTACTAGACTCTTGTCTGGACAGATTTCAGTGAGTTATTCCTAAGAATTACAGGCCTACAATAAAAAAAAGACATATTTCCATGCAAAAAAATGTACCGCTTGGAGCACAGAAATACTGACATAATCAGACCGCTAGAGAAGCTACTAAGCAGCTTTTTTCTTTCAGTGCACAAAAGCTGCTCAGCTGTCGGTTAATTACCAGCTACTTGTTGTCTCCGCTGTGACTCGCCTAGATACCTTTACCTGCCTCATTAGTTCAGCCTACAATCAGCCCTTTTTGCAATTTTAGCAGATTAGCTCATTCCCTCCTTGCACTTGCGTGGTCTGTGATCTCCAGTGTGTCCCTGCCTGTGTTCCTGTGTACAACTCGGTCTGGATGACTTCTCTTCTGATTCCTGTTCCTGATTTCTGGCTCCTGACTACGCTGACTTCTGGTTTCCTGACTCTGGCTCGTCTGATAACCCGCTCTGGCATCCAAACCCTGGCTTCTGCTTTGACTACATTCCTGATCTATGTTATCTCTGCTATATCATTAACCTCTTCACACCGGCCGAACGCAAATGTGCGGCCTCCCGGCGTCTGGGCCTAGACACAGAGCGGTCGCACATTTGCGTTCTATTAAAAAAGAACATATGTGCTGAGAGCGCGCGCCTTGCCCGCTCCCAGCACACAAGTCCGGTACCTATGGAAAGGTCCCAATCTCTCCTTTCAATCGGGACCTTTCCCGATCATGTGACACCGTCACGGCGGTCACATGATCCTAAACCCCACCCCACCTCCCGCCTTCTGGAATCCTTAAAGGGCCGGAGGCGCCGGCGCAAAGGGGTTAAAGTTGTGACTTTAACTGCACTTTCTGTCTCATGATTCTGGTTCATGATTCCTGCCACAGCTGTTATGAATGAAATTCATTCATAATGGTTCTGTTGACATTGTGATCATGTGATGACATGGCGATCACATGATCCCAGGGCAGCGCAAAGCGGCCGGGTACCGGGAGCCACAATCCACTGTCCAGTGAATGATGTCCATGTATGTAATCCAGCCTGCCCGTGCCGCCTGCCTGCAGTAAATGTACTGTGGGCGGGCAGCAACTGGTTAAGTGAAGATATGTGCTTGTCTGTCACCTTGCCAGACAGCATTCACTTGAGCTAGAGTGATTTATCTGCATGTACATTCTTTTTCGTGCGAATTGGGGAAAAAACAAATGTTATTAGGCTATTTTCTCTCCAGGTCGAATGTTATTCATTCATAAGAATGCAGTGAGAGAATCAGGATTCATTTTAGCCAATCCAGAACAGTTAATGCCAAAGGTTTAGCATTATCAGAAGGCTGGTTCAGAGCAATGGTATGCAGCTGGTGCTGGAAGGTTCATGTAGACAGGAAGTTACATAGTTACATACAGGGACGGACTGACAACTCATGGGGCCCTCGGGGAATAGGGGATCATGGGGCCCCTGTGTCCTTGCCCAAACTCAAAAAGCCTATTAAAAAGGTACCAGGTACCTACCCCAGGCCCTCGGGCAGTGCCCGAGTTCCCAAATGGTCGGTCCACCCCTGGTCCCTAACTTACATTCATACATACACATACTAGGGGCAATTTAGACAGGATCCAATAAACCTACCAGCATGTCTTTGGAGTGTGGGAGGAAACTGGAGTACCCGGAGAAAACCCACACAGGCACAGGGAGAACCATGCAAACTCCAGGCAGGTGGAGCCGTGGCTGGGACTCGAACCAGCGACCCTAGTACTGCCAGGCAGAAGTGCTAACCATTTAGCCACTGTGCCACCCTGTTAAATGGACTGTAGTGCATTTCTGCAAATAGCAAAATGCTACGGAAAACGCTTAGGTGTGAACCGAGGGTAAAACACAGCATGCAGATGTGAACAGCTCTATATGGGTTAAAGGGGGCTATTCTTTATACGCTTTTGATGTGCTGAGCCGGTGCGTTTTAGCGCGTTTAGCGAGTCCTGAGCCTAGATTCACATATGTGCGTTTTGGGAGCATGCTCATAAAGCGCACGAATTCCCGACTCACGGGCGAAACTGGCTGCTCTTTAGCAGATGCGGGGGGTGCTGTTGATTCCTAATGGTACCCCCATGCATCAGAAAAAAACAAAACGCATTTTCACGAAACCACATGGTGCTGCAGGGCAGTTGCCCTTTAAATAGGACAGCCCAGGAAAGGTCTAGAACAGTGGCTGGGCAATTTTTGGCCTTGGCCTTTTTTATGTCTTTTCATGAAAAAAAAAAAATAATAAAGCGCCCCTTGTACTTAAGTGTCTGGCTTGTTGGGAAATGGGTTGAGCTATTTTTTGGCATTTACGCTGGGGAAGATTCTTGCATCTTTAAAAGATTTTACTGCTGGAAGCTGCTTCATTGTCAGGATCCTCCCTCCATCCAACATCACTGCACCGTATGCTCCTCACTGCATCACACTGACACACTGCCCAGCCCTGCTCCACTCTGCACTCCTCACCATGGGCACTCTGATAGCACTCACCTGCATCCTCTCCACCCTCATCGCCAGGGGTAAGTCCTATGCACTGAGGGGGGGAAGCATGACTTTAATTAAATTGTTATAATGCAGGATTGCCTCTAATGATTCCTTTAAAATGTATGACGTCATAGGTCCCGTCTTTATATCTTGCATCAAATGCACTGGCCAGGTTAACAGGCGTATTCAGTAAGGCAGTGCAGGGATCAGTGGTGATGTGTAACCAATAGCTGACGCCCTTCTGCCAGCTTAGAGCAATAAGAGCCATGGGGGGGGGGGGCATTTCTGATCATTTCTGTGGAAAATTGATTGCAGTTATTTGTCTTATTAATTAACAGTCTATTTTTATTTTTTTTTTTAAATTTGTATTTATTTGTATATTTTAGTTTCTTTAATTTTTTTTTTTTCATTTCTTACTATTTTTTTTTTATTATACATTTTAATTTTTGATGTTTATATCTATTTTTTCATTTGTTTTTATTTTTTATTATTATTTTATTACTTTTTAATTTTTGATGTTTATATCTATTTTTACAGTTGTATTTATTTTTTATTATTTGTATTTATTTGTATTTTTTTTATCATTCTTTATTATTATTATTTTTTAATGTTTTTTTTTTATTTCTTTTCATTTCTGTTTCTTTTTTTAAATCTTCATTTGTTTTTATTTATTTTTAATGTTTGATATTTATATTTATTTTCACATTTTCATTTATTTTTTTTTTTTTTATTATTATTTCTATTTTGTTTTTTTTCTTGGATTATTTTGTTTTTCACATTTTTCAAATTACTGCTATTTCTTTGTTATTTTCATTTATTTTTATTTTTTATTCTTTTTATTTTTGCATTTTTTTTAATGCATTTTTTTTTCACTACGTTTATTAAATGTATGTATTGCATAAAACCCTATTTGAACAACCTTTGCTTTTCTAAAGATTGCATAATCTATAACACAAAGACATTCGACAACCTTGATACGTTGCAGCGAGCCTTTCATCAGTCATTCTAGTTGCAGCCGGAGGTTTGCATTCTTTTTTCTTCCCGGGGATGCTTTGGATGTGCGTCTTATTTTTAGCCCGTGCTGAGTGCTGGGGATTCTGCTCATGGCTGTCCCCCCTCTGCAGATGTACGGTGCTCTGCATAGGTGATGGCTGCAGTCTGCTACAGAGCCCAGACTGCACCAAGCACTGCTGGGAAAAGGGAAGGGCTCCGACACCAAACCTGAAATACATGGAGCAAGTCCCAACAGCAAGGCAGACACAGACGTATTATTAGGAATTGCTGAATACAGGGCCTGTGCGATGTGTGATGGTAATGGCATG